TATTTGAGGCCATTAACAAACCCTGACAGTGAGCGAAAAACAAAACAAGAAAACAGGCCTTTATTCTTTCCCTCTGGCTCAGTCCCCCCGCTGACGTTTTCCAGCAACATTCCATGTCCATTACAGAGACCTTTGCTGAGATTATGATAAAAACACTCTCTTCCTGCCGTTTTGATCTGATCAGGGACATTTTAGCCTTTTTTTTTTTTCTTCTTCTTTGCTATCAGCTATCAAAGCTCCAAACAACTGCATGATCTGCCTTTGTTCAAACAGCTGACATCACTTGTTGCCAAAGAGCCAGCCGGTGGAAGTCATGAGAAGTCTAGGTCTATACTTAGCAAGTCAAAAACATCCACATTTGTGTTTTTCGCCACTTTATCAAAGCCATTCTGCGAATCCATCCATGCCCATAAGGCCTTCTGAACAGCTTTTTCTTTAAGACGGCTGTCATGATATATTTTATTGTTTTTCGTTCAAGATTCCGGAAAATAAGACACACAGCCAAGTATGATAAGACGTGTATGCTGGACTGGTTCCACTGTAGAAGATACAGCTCTTTTCCAGAAGTTAACTTGGGACATCGAGGCGACCTGACGGCTGAATGGTGCAAACAACATGGGCTGAAATGCCCTCAGACTTTACTGCAAACCTTTCCTCTATTCTCTCACTCCACATATTTTGTCTATCCCTGCTGTGTGGTCAAATACAAGGAAAGAAACTGAATTGTTTTGAGAAATGCACTTGGTGTTGATTCGAGAAATGTACCAAAGCGACTGAGAAAAACTGAATTCACATGCAAAATTATGCACCTTAGAAATCAACGAAAATACTCACTTGCTCAACTCACTTATTGTATAAAACTGTGCATAAATACTGTATAAATTTTCAAAAAACCTGCATATGATTAATGTTCACTCCATACCTTTCCTGACTTTGAAGACCTGCACAGGTAGAGCACTCCGGACAGCTACTTAATAACAATAGCTTTCTGCCTCTCGACATCAAATGATTTCTCCATTTCCTTTTATTATCTGATCCCTAGACCCAGGCTGACCCTGCTGGAAGAGGTGTGAGGGTAACCATTTTCAGATGTGTATCAGTGACGGGGCCCGGGTGAGAGCAGTGCCCTGCAGGGCTGAGGCAATTGACGCCCCCTGCCTCCTGCCTATTTTCGAATTTTCAGCTCCCTATGGCACCCATCCAGGGACCTCCTCCAAAACCCCTGCCGAGGCCGGTGCACTGCAGGCTGCTGAAACCTAAGAAGCAAAGCCCCTGGTCCAATTCATTATTTTTGCTGCAGGGCGGTGTTGTGAGTAACGAGAGTGTCCTTCACACTGCGCGCAAACCTCCGTGACAGCAAAAGGCATCCGCCCTTCTGAAGTGTCCTTGAATTCCCGAAGCCTTACCAGATGTAATGGCAGTATTACGTACCGTAGCTTTGAGTCACTTGTGGGCACAGTGCAGGTAAACAGAGCAAAGTTATTGAATTAAACCTCTAAGTCCGTCCACTTCCCATGAGTTCTTTGACCGGTTTGGCACACAGCAACGCTTTCCGCATAGGAAGAAACATTCAGGGGTTAACAACAATACCAGCATGGTCCAAACTGCTTTAACTATTCCCCAGTCGGTCCAGTGTCACTTCAAAGTCCCTGCATGGTTTATGTGTCTGCAGTGGTCAGTGTCTCAGCGTTCCAGAAGACAGTGAACTGGTTAAGTGCAGCAACTGAGATTAATTAATGTGATCATATGTTATTATTCTGTTTGTTTTGCTCTAGCTCCAAGATCCACATGGAACAAGGCCATGATTTTTTATTTTTTTTTTTACAACTCCATGAACTCATTTATAGTTCTAGAGATCCGCAGACTGGAACAAAACGCCACAGGACACACGGATACTACCTTCAGCATGGGCGATGTAGATTCAAACAGTGCTTAACCAAGTGATTACTGTCATCCACACAGGTTTTGTTTTGAACTTAATACTGAAATATAAGTATTTTGTGCTTACTTTTGTTTTTGTGCAACATCTATTTTATGAGTACTGATGTTAAGCCACATTAAACCGTCCCAAGACGTTTGCCACAAACTAAATTTTTATGTTTCTCATTACGCCAATAAATGGTTTTACCATATGATGACTATATATGGTCAAACAACTAGTCCAGCTTTATGTATTGTAACATGCTGTACATACGTAATAACTGTAGAGCTCTATGTGTTAGTACCATTCTGAATGTCTCACTGTGCAGAAGATAATGGCTTTAGCAGGTACACAAGTCATTCCAATGACAACCAACACTCCGAGGGTGTGCTTGTGGTTAGGCCTGCAGCAACACTTGAGAGCGGTCACTTTCTGAAAATAAATGAATTTAATGAAATGTCAGTCTGGTTATTCCCTGTTGATATACGGTGCTTACTTACTTGGAACTGGTGGTGTTAATGCTCTTAGCCTGTATGGTAAGAAGAAGCATTTTGCAGAACAGTAGAAAAAGGTGAAAATGAAAAGTAGAACACTGCCTGTTTCAACTCATGATCATTATTTCTCTCGAGGGGTTAATTTGCAAATTTGATTCAAGGTGTGAGCGCTGTTAAAATCCGTCTATGAAATGAAAGGTGAGTATGTGGACACCAGAGTCTGCATGATGTAGCCACTCTTGTTCAGCGTACTTTGCCAAAAATTCACTTGTGGTTGTGCAATCAGAAATTTGCAACATACTTTTTGTAATTAAAAGAACATAAAGACACTCAGATGATCCTCCACAATACAGTAGTCCTTTAGCAATAAATGAGATATGAGATATCTGGGATACATAAACTCCAAAAAGCACTCCAGTCTCTCCATTAGCTGGAAGGAAAGAGTGGGCGGCTTAGAGGAGTCGCTATTCTGTTGTGCGCCATGAATCACAGAGCGCCGACGTTTGTTGAGTTCCACTGCCCAACCAACACACTCCCACAATTAACCTTCTGCCTGGAAATCCTCTTGCTCTGACGTATTTGTGTGCTTTTCTGTCTGTGTGCAGTGTGTGTGTGGTGTTGACTTCCTGTCTTAGTGGTGGGGAGACGAGGAGAACATGAAGAGAAGAGTTGACTCAGATAAAAAACACTCTTGCTGCTGTAATGTACAAGCTTGTCCTCTGTTAACATTTTTAACTTTACATATCTATATAACAGGACCATCAAATCATTACCCTCTCATTCAGGTTTTGACTGTACGTCTGAAAAATGAAAACTATGTGCAAGTGTAAAAACCTGCAGTGCCTTGAATGTCCACCTGAGGCTGGTTTCCAAAGTGAGTCAACCCCCATAGATGCCCGTGGTAAAACACACAACTTTACAGCATAAATAATACATCCATCCATCCATTATCTATCCACTGCTTAATCCTCACTCGGGTTGCGGAGGAGCTGGAGTCTATCCCAGCTGACTCAGGGTAAAGGTGTAACCAGTCTATCACAGGGCGACACTTAGAGACAGACAACCCACATTCACACCTACGGACAATTTAGAATCACCAATTAACCTCAGCATGTTTTTGGACTGTGGAAGGAAGCCAGAGAACCCGGAGAGAACCCACGCTGCACGGAGAGAACATGCAAACTCCATGCAGAAAGATCCCGGGTGTCCTCACCGGGACACGAACCGGCGAGGCAACGGCGCTAACTTGATCCACCTTGCAGCCCATAAATAATACATGCTAAAGTTATTCATAATTAAGGACATAGCTGCTTTGAATGACAGGTGGTTGGGCCATTTGAAATCATCTTTGGTGATTTTTTAATTAGTCAGGAGGGAGGTGGAGTCAGACACAGCCAAGATGGCGACTCCCACCATCCCAGTGCCTAGAAACTGTATAGTATGTCAAAAAAAGATTTTGAATGTTACACTACATGTTATGTTAAATACAGAATGTAGAAAATACCGGGATGTTCTGCTACACCTAGTCTCATTTTGCAGTCTTCAAGCCAGCATTCTTTTATGGCCATTCTGACCCACAATCCTCTGCATAGTTGGAGATACCTTACATACGTCATGGTGTCTCGTAAAAGTATAAATGAGCTTGAGGTGCCGAGAGTGCACAGAAGGCTCAAGACACACTTTAAACTACAATGGCTACATGCACAAGACGGTCAAAGCTTGTGGTGCACCATTATGACAAAGTAGTAGCTCCCAGTAGTATGCATACAAGTATGTACTTTTTAAGGATAGCTGTAGTGTGCATTGAAAGGGAAATGAAGAAGTATAGGTGACAGGAAGCTCCATCTATCGAGCACTCAATGCTTTTGGCACCATTAATGTGAAGGGTACACAAAATCTCAAAGTAGCCTGAGATGTCAATATTGTAGGTAAAGGTTGATGTTTTACTGCATTGGAAAGGCTCATAAATCCAGCATCTAATATGAGAATTAACTCATTTTCTGTAATGTGGCCCAGTGGTTCAAACCAGGAATAAAAATGTGCATTGTGTTGACTCAAACCACATTCTATATATTTCATACACAGCAAGACGCTCCTCAGCCCTGAATCATCAACAACTATACTTGTGCTGATTTGAGCAGATGGCTATATGAACGTGTTAATATGAACTTTATACAATGAAAAATGAAACCACGTGTCATAAAGATGCCGATTTATGCAGCTGGATCCAACCAGACCATTCTCTCTTGCATTTGTAGCGAAGCTTTCATCGTGTATTACTGTTATTCCCGTCAGTGGGTCCACACAAATAACAGATTTAACTATGACACCACAATTCCACATACCTCACGTAATCAGTGGCGGCAAACAAAAATGAGAAAAATTAGTTCTGTACTGACTGCTTTCATCCTGAGTAGGTTTGTCTTTTTCTAGCCCTTTCATTTAATCAGTGAGGTGTAGTATATTGGCAGCTGTCACATGTCTGCCCTCGGTAAGCCTCCTTTTTCAACCTTTAATGTTTTGAATAGTTTGACAGTTATTTATGAGGATAGTTCGACCGCCCTCCTGTTCGGATCACATCTTACCTCATTGCCAAGCAGAGCAGAGATGCAGGCTTCGGAGGCATCGCATATGGCTGTGAGGTCGTGACCCCCCTCCAAGGCAAGCACCAGCCGACCGCCTGCCAGACCCATCAGCTGCCTGGTCAGGTAGCCAAAGCCTGGACAACACAGGAAATGACAGCAAAGAGAAGGCAGAGACAGAGGGGGAGGAAGAGAGGGGGGAGGAAGAGAAAAAGAATGAAATGGGGGAGAACTGGTGTTCAGCCTCTTGACTTCCTTTTTGGATATTGATCAAAGAAAAAAGACAGAAAAAGGGGTTGGAGCATGGATGAAGGACGGGGTGACTGCATCGGAGAGAGGAGAAGAGAAAGAGAGTGCACTGCGGATTTACTGGGGGACAAAAAACAAGCCCTAATATGAGCCAGGTTTAATTTTAATAAATGCGGCTTTGCGTTTAGTCTTGGTCACGGCCTTTGATGTTTTTCCTCTCAGGAGGAGGGGAGTTATATGCATTCAGCCATACTTTATTCTCCTCTGAATTCTACCGCATCCCCTCTTCCTGCAGTCCTCTCTAAACCACCCATATCACCCCCTTTGACAACCAAGACCCCGGCTCTTATTTGAGACCTGCAGGATGGTTTTTAGAAAAGCTCTTTGCTGGCACGCCAAGGTCTCTGTCTGAATACACAAGTCAGAGGCACAAAATACACAAAACAACTGCATGTGTGTCAGTCTGTCATATAGAACATGAGAAAGTTTGTGTTTTGATGTAGAGGGTATGCGTGAAAATGTGCATATATAATGAAGTTCTAAGGTATAGTTTGGAATAAAACACGGGTAAATAATATTGTTAGCTGTGATCAGTACTTACATTTGGCTGTCAGCTTGTATCCTCCCAAGGGTGGAGCATGTCCATCCACCGCATCAAAGCCAGAAGATACCAGAACCATGTCCGGGGCAAACTCGTTGGCAATAGGCATGACCACCGTTCTAGAGGAACCGACAGAAAACTCAACTAAGCAACGCATTCAAGGTGAAAACTGCAATTAAATTTAAGACATTTAAGAAAGGTAGGTGCATTTTCTGAAGTCACAGGATTTGTTGCTTTCCATTTCTAGTATTGTGGCTTTAAATGACACAAATAACTCCATGCATGCTTGCATGCATTTGGTTTTGGCTTGCTGCCCTCCAGAGGAGAGCCAAAAAACAGAGGGGGTTTGAAGATTGTTGCTCAAAAACATCAACGGCATGAAAACCTCAGTGATAAGTGAGGTTAAATGTTGTCCCACTGACTGGGGGTGCAGACTCCCTACTAATTTCACTACTCTGTTGAATTGCATTTCTCCACAAGGCCTATCAAAAAGTTTCATTAGCATTCTTGCAGTCAGATATGCTTGAAGTGTCACATCTACTTAATATGCTGGCTGAGTGACAGGGTGGCTGGGCTGCCAATACAAGCAAGCACACATTTCTTAAAAATACATTAAAAACAGTGTATAGCCTGAGATAAGAAACTGCTGCTTAAACCACTGTGCACGTTCAATCAAAACCACCACGTCCGACGAGCCAAGATTTCAAGATTTCATGATACTAATGTTGGACACTATCCCATGTGAACATAAACAGTTTGTTTTTTCCCACTACCACATTTCCAATACATAGAACTATGTCAAAGGATGCAGAACTCACAGCTGAACACGCAGGGACATTCAAGAAGCACCAGAACTGAAGCACTGAGGGCCCTTCAGGCATTAGTACATGTGAAACCTCGGTAGTTTAAGAGGTATTTCAAACAAGTACTGCATTATGACAAAGCTACATGAAAAAAAAAAAACATCGCAAAGTCAGGAAAAAAATGACTGACTTGGTGTCGACAAGCTAATTGCACAGTGAACTCAGTCACCCCTGATGGTTAAAAGAGGACAAGTGGAATTTAAGAGGACTGCTATTAAAATAAGTATATTGACAGATGCCTTCGGTGTCCTTACTCTCTCCTTGTGATTTTGTGTGCAATATACTTCATCCTCTGGAGATGCTACATGCCATTTTTGCAACATTTTTTAATTTCTTTTATGGCTTTTCTCTCCCTTTCATGGTTTTCAAAGTAAACATCCACCTAATGAGTTTGTATGTACAGTATGCGTGTGGCAGGGAAAATTATTACGTTTACCTTTGAAGTGGAAAGTTTGGAAATTTGGAGGCAGCAATTCGCTGCAGGATCCTTAAGTAAAAAGGGGAAACGGAAGGACAGATATAATTGCATGTGTGTATGTGTGTGTTAAGTATGGAGGATAATTCTAACACTGGATGGGTGTGGTGAATGAGGGTTGTTTGTGTACAACCTTCATCTGACACACAACTGCTTAGGAGGGAGCGTTTGTGCGCAATGTGTCATACACAGAAATCGAATTAACAGTGGCCAAGCTGTGGCTGGAAAGTCCAGTTTGGTTTATTTGGCGATCCTGTTGTTGCAAATATGTATGTGTGTGTAATTCTAAGACAGAAAGATGAGACTAAATAAAATAAGATTAGATTGGTTTGAATGCATCGGCTTCATTTTCATGTTTTTAGCAGCTGGACAGAACTTTTTTTTTTTTTTTTTAACCCTCTGAACCATCAAACCTACCACTGGGTTTAAAAAGCATGTTACCTTTTTTTTTTTTTTTTTTCTAATATATTTTTTGGGCTTTTTGCCTTTATTTGGAGCAGTAGAGAGAGACAGGAAAGGAGAGAGAAGAATGGGGAGAGACCTGCAGCAAAGGGTCATGAGCGGGAATCGAACTCACAACCGCTGCATCGGGGAACTACAGCCCCTGTTTATGGTTCACCCGCTCAACTAGGCGAGCTATTGGGGCGCCAAATAAGCATGTTACCTTTAAATAAAAATAAATAAGTAAATATATTTTTCTAGATTGCCAAAATGACCCCATTGATCAGAACCACAAACCCTAGAAACTGGAAGAATGTTTTTTTGGTTTTCTTTAAATTTCTGACAGTCGTCAAACTAATCATGTTTGATGTACAGCTACATTGAGGAAATGAACCAAATCTAAGATTAAAATTGTGATGTTTAATCAAAACTACTTTAGTCTAAATCATTTTTTTCAAATTGCCCAAACTGGACTGTTCACACAAACCAGATTAAAATAAATAAATAAATAAATAAATAATTCTGCGCTCCTCAATGCAACCAATAAGCCATCAGTGACTCAGCTATGACCAACAGTCACATGATAGAAAAATTAGGGATTTTTCATCTCAACAGGACTGAACTTCAAGGGGGTTTACGTAGAGCAGATAGAAGATAAGTATCAAAACAAATTACCAAAAAAAATAAGCAGTTACATATCTGTTATGTAGAGTCTCCATTTCTTTCTGGCATTAATAATGAAACCTGTGTTTACTGGAAAAATGTTGTTGATTTCAGTTCCCCTCAATTTTTGTTGCATAATTAAAGAAATAAAATTTTATTTATTTTCATGATTTATGGCATTATGACATTGCGATGCTGCACAGACGACGTTTCTGAGTTTTCTCTCTTTCTACTCATGGCTGTGCTATTTCCATTGAAATGGCACAAAAAATGAAACTACTTGGGGTTCAGAGGGCTAATAATAAATATATATCAAGGTAGGTAATTTACACACTACATGAAAAAAAGAAATCACATAACTTAAGGCTTTGAGTGTTCATAAGGGTTTCTTTAAATTAGTAACTAATGAATCACTGAACCAGCCTGTAATACTCGGAGCGGCAAACCAGAAGCTTCGTTGACTTTGTAGAAAACTATCATGTGTCACAGCATTCTGGTTTAGCATAATTTAGGATGTCTCACTTAGTTCATAAATAGTTAGACTTCCCAGATGGCAAAACAAGTGTCTCCCTTTCTGATTCACTGTGGGACCTCTGGCTCGGCGCAAGAATCTTTTTGGGGTCTGGGATATTTGGGCAAGCAGTGTTTTGGTGAGGTCTGCGAGTGATGGAGCACCACAGGGTTCCGCTGTAGGTCCCCTGTACTTTGCTGACCTCAGGAACACGGTGCTGGTTTGCCGGCTGTGGGCGAGCAGCGTGCCCTGAACTCCGTAGGCCACAGGTTTTTCCATCTCTTGCTCACCACCAAATTATAACCCTGAGCTTTGCACACCCCACCCCCCACCACAACACAACACTCATACGTACACACAGCTGTCTGAGGGAGAGGCAGGAGGTAGCTTTAGGAGGTTTTTGGGAGTCCCAGACAGCAAGGAGTGCGTGCGTCACTGCGCGCTAGCATGCATCTGGCAATATTTCAGAAGCAAACGTCATGTAGAGAAGATGAAGGAGTTTCAGTGAGAAAGATAGAGATGCAGATGAAGAAGATGAAAGGACAGCAGGAAGAGGACATAACTGTGGAAGCAACGATATGGATGAGGATGAGGTGAAAAACTAGTGTAAATGTCATTGTTCTGACATTTCCTAGACTTAAAAGCGAGACAGCTCTCAACAGCACAAATGTACGACTTTCACTATGTATGAATTTATGTGAAATTAGCAACCCCTGTGCTCAGGGAATTTATTATATTTGCTACACCTCCCACTTTTTTGCCTACTCGCAAACGCACATCCACACACAGCCTTGGCCCATTAACATCTGCGCCATAAAAGACCCCACACTAAAGGGAGTCAGCCACAGACGCTTATGTGGGCTGACACACGACACACAGAGAAACCTTGACCGCCAAGGATACTTGAACCACCAAGGGCTCCTCCGCCTCCCCCTCCTCCAACCTTGAACATAGACTGAAGCAGTTCTGGTTATGATGCTGAAAGCTGCTGGTGTCATCAGTTCCAGCCCCCCACCCCCTGGAATAAAATCCTGACATTTAAAGAAATAAAAAAGCCACAGTAATCAATTAACAGGCCGGCATAGAAGGAAGCAAGCGGTTTCGAGAAAGACTAATTGTGCGTGAATCAGAGGCTATGTATGCAGAGATGAAAAAGACTTTTTTTTTTGTTAATTAAGGGAGGGGAGAGTTTACGACTGAGCCGTAAGCTATGGGACATCCTGAGCAAAGAGGCTGCAACCTAAACCACTGCTGGCTCTCTCTCTCCCAGTCAGATTTTACTGTGAACAGAATTACTTGTCGGTTAAGTAGAATAAACTTTTGTTTAGTATTGTTTGGTTTACCTAGCAACAGGTGCACATGTGTCAGCTGAGCAGTGGTGAGCCTGTATTTGCATGCATAGAGTGAGACGGAATGCTGTATAGTCATTAAACTGCTCCACTTTGACGTTCCTTTTTTCTACGATTTTTTTTTTGGGGCATTTTTATGGCTCTACTTCATAATGGAAGCGGATGGAGACAGGCGATGCGGGGGGAAAGCGAGTAGGGGAATTGACATGCTGCAAATGGTCCCCAGCTGGGTATTTGCTATTGGGTCATCCCAATTTGACCATTTTTGCTTTGGGACTCGTGAGAGATGGGTTTAAAAAAAAGAAAATGCTCCAGAAAACTTATAGCCAAGCCCAAAATCAGTGGAAGACATCATTCTTAGATCAATGGGGTACGTCCTGCGTCAGCAAGCACACTTAGGTCTGCAACTGTCCATGCAGACCCCTCCATAGGCATCTGCATCTCGCCCAAAATCCATATCCGCTTGGACAGCCAGTGTGGCGACTGTAGTACAAGGGCAGTAGGTCAGCAGCAAAGTGCATGTGCAGAATACGTAGATACAACCTGCTGCTGTCGTGTTCACAACCACAAAGCAGTATAATCAAGGTGTTAATACTTGCATCCCTGCACACACACATATCATGCGCCCTCCTAAAGAAACCCCTCTTCACTGTGTTAACGTTTCCATATGATGTTTTTATATGCTGGAAGACACAGCATGAGTAAAATAAGCGGTTAACGCCGTGGCCGAGCATTTTAGCTTTGTAACTGCAGCCTTCAGTTTAAAAAAAACACATTGTGGAGTGTTTGAGCAGAGTCAGAGGTGAGCTGGTGTTCTCAGGCTGCAGTGGGTGGAGGGAGAGACGGGGACTCTCAAGATCCACACATTCTATGTGAAGTATAGTGTAGCGTTACATCATCTTAAGGTGGAGGTAGCTATTGTCAAACCTTCTAAATATGTAACTTTGATGCAATAAAATGTATTTTTAGAAGCTTCATCGATGAACAGAGACATTTACATTTACTGCATCCTGTAGACTTCAGAGTTAAACTGCATGAAGCACATTTTTTTCATTTGCCCTGTTCCTAAAAAACATTTCTCCTCTTCTGATCCCAGTAAGCATTCTCAGATTTTGGCACTTGTTATCCATCACAGTTTTCAGCTGCACACAAATGTGTTGACACAGGTTAATAAAGCAGCAGGTCTTGGCATACTGGTAACTTTCTGAGCCAAGGAAACCTTCCTCTCTAGGGACTACTCATCTTTGTCTACTTACTCTAGGGCCTCATTTATCCATCGGCAAATCTTGATTATGCCCTCTGATTAAAAGCGCTCCAAGTTTACAACATGGAGGGGAAATGTGGCACTTTGGTGAACCGTGGGGATGAAAAAAAAGAACAGAAAAGGCATTACATGCTTTGTTAATATGCCACATAATAAATTGGTTGTTTATTTTTCTAAAATACCATCTACACTTGCCAAAAAAAAAACAAAAACATCACTTTTTAGGCTTTTAAAGGCTTCAGAGCTGTTACCATGAGAGAAAGTCATCCTTATCGACCCAGTGAAGGGTCTGTTGGGACAATACAGACTCTTTAGAGGGAGCAGCGCTTATCAAACCAGCCAACAAAAGGTTAAACTGGAGAGCTTGAAGGCTTTCCCCCTTCGTTCATAAAAAAAGTAGAGAGCGGGAGAGAGAGAGAGAGAGAGAGAGAGAGAGAGAGAGAGAGAGAGAAACTCACACACGCACACTTACACTTCAAAGCCCTGTCATCTGGCGCTGTGGAGAGCTGGTTTGAATTAAATTTAATTCTCCTCCTCTCTCGTCTTTCCAAGTTCATGGCAAAATAGGGGGTGAGAGGGGGAGATAGAGAGCGCAAGAGAGAGAGAGAGAGAGAGAGAGAGATGGGGGGAGAGAGAGAGAGCGAGCGAGAGACGGTGCTTCTGGTTTTCATTAGGGCCAATTTTCTTATCTTTTTTCTCTGTGGTTTCTGGAGGCTCAGACTTGATCCCCTGCAAATGCAACGTGGCACAGGCCAGCAGAGGAATGGGAAGGTGCTGGCTGCAAAGCATGCGTTCCCTCCCCAAGACAGAGAGGGAGGCAGGAGAGAGGACCACAACACACACAGATAAACAACGAGACTGAAGGAGAGAGAGAGAGTGTGTGTGTGTGTGTGTGAGATGTCTGTATGTGGCTGCAGACGTATAAGCACACTGATGCAAAAGGTGCACATGTGAGCATTTGCACATCTGCTCCACTGTGATTTAGTGCACATTTATGTACCTCTATGTATATTTGAGGCCATTTGCATTCCAATGAGTTTGTGTGGAGCATGCGCATTTGTATTGTAAACATACAAGACTATCTGGCATTGGCATCAGTGCCACTTTGCGTGTACATATGCACAAGCAAGGTATTTGCGTGTGCGTGTGTGTGTGTGTGTGGCAGATCTATGACCTACAAGATAGGTTTGCTGGTGTCTCGTGGGGCCAGTAAATTGTCCAATACCGCTGAAGCCTCAGGGGATTAATGGCGCCAAGGTCTGAGGTAATACACACCCAAACTCTCGTTCGTTTTCATTTTATATCTTCAGAACTTTCCCATAATGCAAAGAAGGCTGATTTAATAAGTCACAATTACAGAAAACAGCACACGCAAATGCAGCGCAAGCCTCTCCACGTTCATGTTTACCCTGATGCATGAATGCATGAAACATACGAAAACTAGTGTATAAAAAGGTGGTTCCAGATGACGTTAAAAGGGACAGCTCAGCTTGGGCTAATTATTGACAATTTTTAAAGGGTTGTAAAATGAAATGTAAAATGTAAATGTAAGCTGTATTTTCTGAGGCTAGTCTGCTGCACTAAAACCCTGCTACACTACAAGCCTGTGGCAAGAGCACATGTCCGCTCTATTATTGGGTATTTACAGGAATGGCCCCCTAATCGGCCATTTTAGCCTTCCTAGTTTCATGGGGGTGTAGGATCTGACAGGTTTGACTCGAAATGCACCAAACAATGGGTACTTACTGGACACAACTTCAGCTGTATGAGCACACAGGTAATTTAACAATGGAAGGTTTGTGAAGTTGGCCTATATGGTAAATGTTTGGTCTTGATGTTTTAGAGAACATTGATGCTTGATAGGACAGAAAAATGGCCCCTGTTGTCCTCTCTGGCACACTCAGCAGTTTTAGGTGCCGCTCAGAAGCACCTTCCCTGCAGTAGGCACCTTTTCCTCTCCTGAAAACGACACAGAGAGGCTCCATACATGGGCGGCTCTTGTGGTCGGAACAAGCAAAAGGTTGGGGCTGCCCTAAAATGACCTGCAAGCTCCTGCAGTGGAAAACAGTCCTAATTACAGCAATTAATTACAGATGTAATTACACACTAGACAGAGTGCATTGCTGATAAAATTGCACACAATTGTCCGAATGCACATAGCCAAATGTGAAGTGTTAAAATTTTGGTTCTCTATGTCTTTTAAGTTCTGTCTAAATTACAGGGGACCATTAAACAGTGCCCCGGGCTGCAGCTGCAACAAAGTGAGCCTTACATTAATTGACACCTGCTGCCCTTCATTACGTTGCAGTGCACAACTAAATCTCTGAGATTAAAAAGGCTTCTTCATTTTCAGCTTAAAAATAACACATGTATGTTCTGCACAAGAGAAAGCTGCATAATATCATGGATTCCTAGAAATTAAAAGTAGTGTAAAGACATTTTTTTTCAAAAATAAAAAATGCATAATATTGAATTATATCAGCAATACTTTAATAATTTAGAGAGCTTTAATTGTGTAACTCATCGTGCACTTCCTGTATTTACTGTTGCTAGTGATAGAAGGTTCAGGAGATCCATCTCAGCTGTCAACGCAATCAATAAAATTCAAGACCTGATTTGACACTTGTGCTACAAACATCAATGTTTTTGCTAGAGGTTAGTAGTATTTAATTTCTGCAAGTAATATAACAATACAATTGATTTTCTTCTGTCAACATAAATGTAAAACATAGTTTATCTACTTGTGTGTGTAGGTAGCATTTGGCCTCTGTCACGGATTATAAATAATGTCTGTAGTATGATATATATTGCGTGGTTGTCATCGGTGCACATTCACACAGAAGGGTTGAAAGAGGAGGATGAGGGGGGAAGAAAAATACAAAGGAGACGGAGGGAGAGCGAGAGCACACGGGGTTCTGGGGTGCATTAGCGGGCTAAGGTGTGCTTCCTGGGGATTGCGTGCCGAAAGCTGCGATAAGACAGTGGCCTGTCGGTTTGATGTGTCGGGCTCGGGCCAGATGGACACACGGTTGCAAACGCAGATTCATCTTCAAAGAGAGCTGGAACAAATCCAGGTCTGCTCCTTTCCAGCTGTATGAACCACAAATGTGTAAGAGACATGTACATGTCTGTGCTGAGTCCATGCCTGTATGTTGTAAGGGCGCGAGTGAGAGGTTATTTATAGCCCCAGAGAATGGACTTAATAGAAATCAGACCTGGCAAAAGGACGAGCCCCCTGCCAACAAACCAGCCACCAAAAGATAACTTGTCATACCTCGCAGTGCAAACTCAAAGGTTGTGACAGGAAGAATGACTGCTGCCAACTTTTTGAAATCCATCCCCTCTTGACAGATATTTAATGTAACAAGGAACTAAATTGACCGTATGACCATTCAGACACACATCCTCAAAGCAGCAGGTGATACTGTCTTACCTGAATGCAGCTAGATAGTCTGCGTCACTCATGGGAGGTTCCAGTCCTCCAGTGAAGGCCATGTTCACATTGAAGCCTACACCTGCTCCACTGCCCACCTATAATGCATAAACACACAAAGTATTATCATAAATTCAGACAAACAGACGGGTAAGTAAGCAGAAAGATGGACTCCTGGGTCAACCAACCTCATCGGGTGCTCCACTGCCAGGGAAGAAGTTCCCATCATCGTAGCGATGAAGCGACAAGTAAAGGACACTGGGGTCAGCGTAGAAAGCCTGCTGGGTTCCATTACCATGGTGAACATCCTGTAAACATTAAAAAGGGGGCCAAGTTGTAGTAAAATTTGTCACGAGCAAGAATATTTTCAACATAACTCTCCTTTGATTCTCATGGCTCAAGCTAAACAGAAGCTGGAGAAAATCAAAGGTTTTCACAGAGTCCAGACCATCAACCTCTGCACCTGCACTTAAAGCAACCGAGTGACAAAGAGAGTTAGTGCTGGGCTGCCAGACAGTTAGACTGTATCTCAGCGGCAGCCTGTTGGGATGTCAAAAAAAGGATGGTCTGCAGGATTCAATAAAACACTCAACTTCAATAGTTGTTCAGTTTTGCCAACAACATGACATCAATTAAATGACCTCATTTTCTATATCCCAAGAATGCTTTAATACACTGATCCTAAAAACGTCTCTGTTAGCTGGAGGCGAGTGGCATGACAACGAGCTCGATAGCTGCACTAAAAGTCCCCCTGTGACAGACGGAGAGGAAATGAAAAGGCCCTTCAAAGGGTTTTAGGAATGGCCATGACCAGCCAGGGATGCCACTGAAGAGCACTGCTCCTGGACACGACGAAGGCGATGTCATGCCCTTTTATAAATTACTTTGTCTTTTTGGGGGAAAAAAAAGGGGACTGTATCTGACCTAAATAGCCAAGATGAGGCTAAAAGGTCAAGTTAGTGGCTCTATGTTCATTATCATTTCAAAAACATTCAGGAGGACTAATAACGTGATGACTGTGGTATTTTATAGCCTTATCAATAAAGGGTCAATTTTTTAGCACTACAGTGCAAGGACCCTATTGGAACCGTTGTGATTATTATTATTATTTATTATTATTATTATTATTATTATTATTTATTATTATTTTACCGACTTTTGAAACGCGATTTTGAGGGCCTTAACATGCACAAAAACTCACCAAAATCGCCACACACACCAGGACTGGCGAAAAATTTGATATTTTAATGGACTTGGACATGTCACTGCCAAAATGGCTCCACAGCGCCACCTTGAAAATTTCCACACCAGGACTGGCGAAAAATTTGATATTTTAATGGACTTGGACATGTCACTGCCAAAATGGCTCCACAGCGCCACCGTGAAAATTTCAACGGAGTCCTGTCAGAAGCACGTATGACCTACAGCTACGCAATTTGGTAGGCATATAGAGCTCGTCACACAAACAAAAACGTCTCTCCGCTCCAAGCTCTAAAATGCAACACGGCTCAACTGCGCCCCCTACAATATTTCAACATAGTCCCATTGCGGCTACGTTTCACCTACAACTACGACATTCATGTGTAACAACTTGTGCCGCACAAAAAAGTTCATTAGCATGTTTCTGTAAACCCAACAGGAAATCCATCATGTTGGAAAAACGGCGAGCATGCCGGGCCATTTTTGCTTAAAAATGACCATTTTCCACATTTCTAATAGTTTCCGATTTCCACCAGTCCTGAAGTGCATGGCGATTTTGGTGAGTTTTCGAGCATGTTTAGGCCCTCAAAAACGCGTTCAAAGTTTGCGGAAAAGAATAATAATAATTTTGTTTTCACTCAATTGAAGTGCTGAAACAAAAGCCATACGTAAAATCAAAGTCCAAAAGATTCATGGCTGATTGCCACTTCATGCATTCTGCATCGAAGTGTCTGCAAAGACAAACAAAGAGCAAAGACAAACAATGCTTGTTTAGCAGAGAGCCTGAGCGAGGAGATTCATCATCGCCCACACTTTTGAAATTAACCATTAAATAGTTTGAACTGAAACAGTCGCTGTTGGACTTTTGGAGGTGCTTTGATTCGCAGCAACATGCTTCCTATCGATGGTGCCCAAGAACAGTGGGAAGTTCCAAATTCTCCGGAAATTCTGTGCTATATCCGCCCACTGTGGTTGGCACACCTCAGGAATATTCACTGACACGGTGCTACAGCTCAATCTGTAACCAGCTGCTTTATCCTGGAAAAAGTGCAAAGACACAGCCTTTCAGAAACACCCACAGCAGCCCTGTGTGTGAGGAGCAATGCGACCATCTGTGTAGCAGACCAACGCACACCTATTGTAGTATGAACACAACTGTGTGCTTGTGTCCACTGTTTGCTTTCAAAGTTGGCACTGGTCAGCGTGGGGGCATAAAAACCACGAGTTGGAACTAAGGGCATCATTATCATCATCATTTCCCTGAAAGATCTGGATGTGTGACTGACAGAGGAGTCATGGATCACCAAAAAAAATAGGAATTATTATCAAACAGACGATAGCTGTGATCTACTTGATGTGTCAATATCTTCCTTTTGCTCACAGCAGATAATTCGCCTCAGCTGCTACTGCGAACTTTGCTCTTATGTCAGAGGACAAACTTATTACTCAGCAGCAGGGAAGGGAGGAAATGCGACTTAGATTAAACTGAGGAAATTCAGTGAACTCCGAGAAACAGGTGTTTGCCCACCTACATGACAGTGTGCTGTCCAAATGAATGGTTATGTAACAAACAACCCACTAGGTTGCCTGTGAAACTCACCCAGTCCACGATGAGGATTTTACTGACATTGAGCCTCTGTTGCAGAAGCTTGGCTGCTATGGCGACTGAATTGAAGTAACAGAAGCCCCTGAGGATTGAAACAGAGAGGACGGTAACAAGACAGAATTTATATGATGCTGACAAGCTTGAGCAATATTGTGCCTAAATACTTGCCTGACATAGAACACAAGTCATCCAATAAAGGTTTGTAACAGAGGTGGGGGACAGAGGGACTATAAATGTAAGGGTATTTGTTTTCTTCACCAAATGTCCAATTAACTTACATTGGTGTGCTCTCCTCAGCATGATGTCCAGGTGGTCGAACTACAGCAAAACCATTCTGTCAGAGAAAAGAGAAATCATCAACATACAGCACAACACATAGAGACATACATCATCCCAGGAAGTTTGTACATTTATTTAATACTTTTCACTATCGCATATTATTCAAAAGACGACCACCGTGCCGTTTCTCGGAAATTGATACATCAAACTAAATGAAAATGAAAGTGATAGTACAAATTGCGCACAGATGCCTACACATCGGGTCAGTTAAGGGGAGCTTTGTTACTCCCAGCAATAGTTTTTAGAAGCTCCAACTGCTACAAAGAGACATTAGATAGATGTTTGGGCTGATGTAGAGCGAGGCAAGCCGGACTAATGATGTTGAGTCAGCTGCTGCGGATTAGCAGCCAGCCGGAAGATTACTGTAGTGACAACTGCCTCTGCTGGTTTGAGGACACCCAGTTAAAGAACTCTACGTAATAATTTATGTATGTTTAGTGTATATGAGGCGAGGAGGAGGCGGATTGTTTCTCTACACACGAGAAAAATAATTTAATTAAAACAGACGTTGGGGGGAAAACTTAGAAAGCAGCAGATGAAGAGACAGAAATGTATGTGTGTCTGCGTGGGTGTGTGTGTGTGTGAGTGTGACTTGAGTAGATTTATAGCATTTTGTGGAGTTCAGAGAGTTGTTGGTGCAGGTGGAATTTGCTCATTTGGCTGTGGAGGATCCTCAGAGGACCATCTGCACGTGTGCAAGAGTGTGAATGTGTGTTTGTGCACGTGCACTCGGACACATCTGCGTGTATGTGTTAAGATTAGGTTAAGCTGAGGGCAAGTCGATACCTGTGAACTTTAACCCTGGTTGTAGCAAGAAATAATTCATCTTAACTTTGGGATTTCCTTGCATGCTGTGTAATGCATTTGGTTTTCATTTGAAGCTGCGCTATTGGCAATCGTGCAAAGTTCTGTATAGAATCGTGCCCACATCGTGCCCACATGATGAGGGCTGAGTGTTAGCGATCCCTTCCAAAAACCATGTGGGTACTACTATGGCGTGCTACTGTCTGTCTCGAAGGAATGTCATTAGTCTACGGTATGTTGGTGCTAAGCTAACGCTAAGTGCGACGGCTGCTCCGCAGGTGGCTTTGGTGTAATACTAATAAAGGAGGCCTGTTAGTGGGGACTGCTGGCATTTGCAGTGCCTGTGCACCGGGCCTCCCTGCTGGGTTCAAACAGTAAGCAGCCATTGCCACAGACACATGAAGGCTGGCTGGCTGGGGGGGCAAGGCATGACGGGGTGGGGATGTCTGTCTGGGAGGTGCTAATGATCGTTCTGGAAAAAGGCTTCTCTTTTCTTTGAGGCGTTTGGAAGTGTGGATGAATAGTAGAGCACTGGTGCAGATATGATACATCCATCGAACAGCACTGAGCATAACAAGGTTTGATTAATTCATTGGAAATATTCTCAAACAAACACTTACATGCTCACCCATGCACAGCGAGTATTTGCTCTGCATTGTGGCTGCAGTTCAGATGGAAAATGGCACAAGGCAGTAAGGCCTGACTAAAATCAAACCCTGCAAGGTTTAGTCATGGACTTATTTTGTCAAAGAGTTAATCTGAGCTTGGTTTCATGTTGCATATAAAGGCCATTAAATACACACTTCCACTGACACATAAAGGCCACGGAGACATGACAAACACGTAAAAGCCTTTAGTCATCTCAATCCCTAAAAATACACTGTGGGCCCCAACAAACAACCATGACTCATTTAACAACACGGAGCATCTAAACCAACCTTTAGTTCTCCTGATGCTACTTTGAAGACGAGCTCCACCACAGAGCCGACGGCCAGACGAGCTGCACTGGACGAGTGGACTTCATTCCAAATGGTGTCGCTGTCCACCTGCCAACACACACACACACACAAACAGTCATGTGTTGTTTATACGACTTTTTGAAATGAGCAAATATACGCAACTTCATACTGTTTTCCATTTATTTATTTATGTATGAAATTAAGGAACATTTGTTGGTGTCATTTGCAATTCTTCAGTGGGACAGAGGTCGTAAAACTGTAAACGCGTTTGAAATTATTTAGCGTGTGTCATTTCGCAGGATCAAAGTTAGTCTTTGAAAGTGCTCCGAGGGAAGAAGCGACAGTGTAGGAAGGGCTGGAAAATATATTCACAGAGAAAAACAATAGAGAGGCAAACAATGAGGCAGTGAGACATATTTAGCAGCTTAATCATGCAGACGATCTAGCAGAACAGACTTTCTGAACATTTGTTTTAGCCAGATGAAGACGATGCTGTATGTAGTGTGTATTTGAAACAAAATCTGTAAATAAAGTTTAAAATGTAATCAAAACATCAAAGATTAACTCCAAGACATTAAAGAGTGACGACGTAGACCCATGGACCTCTGGAGTGTCATATTTAATCAACAGGATTCTGCATTTTTGCGTCATTATTCTTTCGTTTTGCTCACATATAAATAGCTGAATCACGCTAACTTGCCGTTGTGTAACAGAAGAAATCTACTGTGTTTGAACAGAGTTGTAGGAGCTGGTGTGCTCGAACTGCTGTAAGTGGGGATGGGTGAGTGAAGAAAGGAGTAGGGACTACATAGATCAATGCATTCTAGAAAGAGAAATCATGTAGAGTTACATCTAAGCCAATTTATGGTAGGAAGGTTGAGTAAGTTCTGCTATGTAATTCAGCGAAACATTGAGGTGGAGTTAATATATTCAGAGGTAGATGTACAGGAGACTTCATGCCCAGAGGACAATATAGCTAACACGTGAGAAGAATTGTAAGGGAGTGGAGACTTCCATCCATCCATTATCTATACACCGCTTAATCCTCATTAGGGTCATGGGGGGCTGGAGTCTATCCCAGCCGACTTAAGGCGAAGGCAGGGGACACCCTGGACAGGTAACCAGTCTATCACAGGGCTACACTTAGAGACAGACAACCAAGCACACTCACATTCACACCTACGGACAATTTAGAATCACCAATTAACCTCAACATGTTTTTGGACTGTGTGGGAGGAAGCCGGAGAGAACCCACGCTGCACGGGGAGAACATGGAGACTCCACGCAGAAAGATTCGGGTGTCCTCACCGGGACGCGAACCGGCAACCTTCTTGCTGCGAGGCAACAGTGCTACCAACTGCGCCACCCTGCAGTCCAAGTGGAGACTTTTAATAACTAAATAGTCACTTTCTCCGTAAGTAATTGTCTAAGTAACAGGTAACGCTTTTTATCGGGCGTAATCCTGCAGGCAGCTTACTACTGATTCCTAATTTAGCCAGAAGACCTCACAAAGTAGAATCAAAGTGGAGCAAAGTTATCAGGCCAACCTCAGATATACTGTACTTGTTTGTTTTATGGAGTGAAAAAAACCATCTCCAGATTGATTGCGTGTTTGTGTGTGCGTTTGTGTTCGAGTATGGCTCAGACACAGGGTGAGCATTCAGTGGTCAAGCCTGATTTATGCCGAGGCACGGCCGGCCCCCAGCCCCTATAACAACACTACATCCACACACATGCACAAAAGCTAAATAGACCACAATATTCCGTGTGATTGATTGTACGCAGAGCCATGCACAGGATAATATACAGGCAGATGGAGCGCATGATAAACACAGAGAGAAGAAGCTGGCAGAGGAAAAGAAGAAAAGGAAGGTCTATGTGTCAATGTGTTTGAACTGCACACACATGTGCGGAGCGGCCGATGCCAGAGCTCCAGCGAGGCTTTTCTGATGTAAACCCGAGGCTCTCCGACTTTGAATATGTTAACTTTAACCTGCCAGTCACTCGCTCAGTCAGACAGCCGGCCCTTTCATCCACGCCGACGGCCCTTCAGTCCGTCAACTGGCCGAGTGGAACATTAACCTTAGCCACCCAGTCAGCTCCTCAGTCCTTCAAACCAGTCGGTGAGTTAAGCGAGCCGACAGCTTTTCAGCCAGCCGGCCCACTTTCCTCTCGTCTCCAGTGACGGAACTGATCAAGGCTGGATGATTACTCCATAATAACATCCACAGAGAAGAAAAATGGCTCTTTTTAAGTTGAGCCAAGAAAGACTTTGTCATGAAACAAAACTGTGGAGCTTTTACCATAGACTACAGAAACTACACAAAAAAAAAAGGGAGTGAGGAGGTATGGCGAGCGTTGTTGATGAGTGACTAATGGAACCGAATTTGAAGAGAGAGAGAGTAGGTGGAAGACAGTATGTAGTAGCCGAGTCAATGACTGAGCGAGCGAGCAAATGAAGAGTCAAGTGAGTGAGTGAATGGGAAACTGAATCATATATACAAGTCAGGTTAATGAGCACAAACAGATGCTGTTCTGAAGCAGCATGTGGAGACTGAGTGGTTTATTATTTCCCATGTTGATGTTAGTTTTGCCTCGAGCTAGAAGTGAGTTAGAAGCTAAGTTGGGAAAAAGAGAAGTGGAGTGTGTGTGAGTGTGTTCGAGGTACAAAAGAGCGGGAACGTGCTGGTATGACGGAATGACGGCTCTCCGCAGGCTGACAGCCTAATTTCAGCCCCTTCCTCTGGAAGTGTGTGTGTGTGTGTACGTATGACTTGTATGTGTGTGTATGACAGGAAGACAACAATTTAGCCCCATTTGCCATTATAAAGAGCAGAACACAGCAGCGCAGAGCTCAGGCCCTTCTAGTTCCCACCAGAGCAGGAGCAGTAACCCCAAAGGAGGGAGGAGAAGGGGGGAGAGAAGGGGTAAGGCAGATAGCCTGGAGGTAAAAGCACTGATGTAAAAGAAAAAGCAACGTATGGTGCAATTTAGGAGTTTGTAGGTGAGTGTGTGCTGGACAGGAATCTATTGGACATTGTGAAAAAGACTTAAAAAAAAAAAGGATGCACACACATACAGGTGCAAGATTGTTCTAACATATCGGTTTCAAAAGACACCACTTCCAACTCTAAGCAGCCATCTAAATCACTGCCATAGCACACAAACATCCCCAAACACACTGCTATGCGCACAAACAAAATCATACCCACCGCCACCACACACACACACACACACACACACACACAGAGCTCGTAACATCTGGTTATAATTACCAACACGGCGGAAAGGCGAGCAACAGCTTTTGTTGCCTCTGGTCCTTGAGGGGCGGTGTTCGTGTGTGTGCGTGCGAGTGCGTTGAGATTGTGTGTGTTTGTTTGGTGGAACAAGAACAAATGGGACCATTATTTAGGCATGGGGCAGAGCGAGAGTGGGCGAGGGAGACTCTTATACTACTATTTGATGATGCTGAAACTATGCTTATTTGTTTCGCTGCAGAGTGAGATGGAGCGGTGCCAGATGGGTATTGATTAGATTAACGCAGCGCTGTAAAAACACAACAGTCTATTACAACAATTTTCCACTGAATAAACCAGTGTGACTAACGACGGCAATTTCCAAGAAATATCAGGCGCGCAGATTACAAATACTTAATTGGCTGGTGAATATTTGTAAAATGACTAAAACACGACTTCGCAAACTTACCCCGATGCCTCCGCATGGTAACCTCACAAACATGGGACTTACGGAGCCTGAAAGAGAAGGAAATAAGAAATTAGAAAGAGTACAAGACAAAGAAAGAGTGAAAGGTTACCAGGTGAATAGGTAAGCTTGTGGACTCACAGGCACAAATGGGCGCATGACCCCTAAACCTGAGCGTTTGACTTTATGACCTTATCTAACAGCGAGAGTACACAGGGGCAGCTGTAATTGGCTGAGGTGAAGAAGAAAAAAAAGTATCTTGTTGACCTCACAATCAAGCCTCTCTTCAGGGAAAAATCAAGATTTTCAGACCAGAGAGGGATCTGGTTTGTCAGTGAAAATCAATAAACTTCACTTTTCTGACATGTCAGAAAATAAACAGAAACTTAGCAGACTAATTTGATTGAACCCTTTCAAATGTAAACTGCAATTACAATTTCCGTTTAGCAACATAGCCTTCATCTTTAATGTCTGGGTAAATATTTGTAACTGTATGCAAAACTCTATGTCAAACTTTGTCCTACAGCTGCAATCGATCTCTTTTGAGTAAAACCCAACTCTTCAACCTGGGAAGGTGTTTTTGAGAGCTTTTCAAGAAGCAATCTCAGTCCAGATAAGCTGCAATGATGAGCTGGTTAATCGATTAGCTGCGTGAAATAGTCAACAACTATTTTGCCAATCGTTCAATTGGCATGAGCGATTTTGTAGGAAAAATAAAAGCCTTAATTTTCTAATTCCAACTTCTTAAATTTAACCTCTTTATGATTTCCTTCCTCTTCTGGGGCAGCAAACTGAGTTGTGGATTAAACAAGACATTTGAGGACATCATCTGATAAACATTTTGCACATTTTTCTGCCACTAATTGAGAAAATATTCAGCAGGTTGACTGGCTATGAGAATAATCATTAGGTGCAGCCCTACAGTCTAGTATTGGCATATATACCAGTTTAAACTTTAATGAGTGCAACAGCAGACCCCCGAATCTAAAGGGGCAGAATGTGGCACTTGTATTGCCAAGCTTAAGTCTCACTGAGCCATCCACTAACTAACCAAGAATTCACATGCTCAGCAGTATCTGACCAAAAGAGACAGCTCCTAATAGACATTTAATACAGTGTCTGTAATGACTTTAATCCCTAACTAGTTGCCACCTTTGCAGTTTTATAGCAGCTAGCATTTTCACTTTCTCTTTCTCAGTTTCTAATTCTATGCAGTCCCACCTGTATGCAGCGTTACACGGGAGTATTTGGTAATACTCCCGTGTAAGCAGTAATAACAACAGGAATTTATGTCTCCACTGGAATGAAAGCTAAGATGACCACTGGGGTTTGCCCCTTTGGTTTTTTTGCACACACACACATGCATGCATGCACAAACACACACTACCTTGGCTACACCTGCACTTTGAGGCCAGACCTAAGTGACTAAGCAGCCCGCGCGACTTTCAGTTTAACAGCTTCAGCGGGTCCTCGCCTTATCGTAACACCTCCAGGACTTTATTAGAATGGAGCTTTTGTTATGACATGGTTTAAGCATTAAAGCAGATTCCTTTAACAGACACTGCACATTCAGGGCATTTACACGACCGCCTAGTCGGAGACTTCAGCCTTCTCAGCTTGACAAAGTTACTGAAAACTTAATGTTGCGTGCATATTTGTAAACCCAGCTCGTGCCAAGTGTGTCAAGAACTGCGAAACACGTGAGTTTTTACCGCTAAGCTCAACAATCGTTCATTTCGGGGGCTCCGCAGTTTATTCGACTTAACTTTTGAGCAATATTTACTGTAGATGAGAGCTTCTGAAAATCCAAACGGCAAGTCAATCCAGACTATAAATTTTTTAACTGATCAGTAAATTGTTAGTGATGTTGAATATGCAGCGTAGCTGGAAGATTATTCACAGAAATCCCGTCCCCAGATGAATATGATTTTAATGTGGCGTATTTCCCTATCACTGACATCATTGTCATGGCTCTGTTAACTGCTGGAGAGAGTGTTGTGCGCTGTTGCTGCCGAGTTCACGCATTAATGTTACACCAGAGGGTTCGCTATGAAGTTCTAAATATGTCTCGTTTTCTACAGTACGCGATTTTTTTGCAAGTTTTGTAAATGTAAGAATGTGTCTGAGTCAGACATAAACGATTGTTTGAATCACATCTGACTCAGTTTGGTGCAGGCCCAGTCACAAGAGATGTGACATGTAATGATGCATCAGAGTTCAGCGGTTATATTGTAGATTTATTACCTTATTGTACATAACATTTATGGTTTTATCCGCATGCTGTTTAATTTCCTTTAACTGTACATCCTGAACAGCACTTTGCTTCACAGGATGCTTTACAAACATATTTCTACTTACCTACCATGATACATGCAAATAATGCCATTTGTCCCACTAGGATTATAAGTATTTTAGCTGCCTTGGCTTTCTTGAACCACAATGCATTTGGCTTAAAAATTATAATTCACTTGATTAAATGCTATTTCCAATCATTCTGGACCCTTGGCCATGATTAAAATTCAGACGTGGATTTGGAGTCAGAAGTTTTAAAACCCTCTGCCGTAGGTGGTAGAGCAGCGCACTTTTGGAATAAACATGTTTTTGAGCGTTTGTGTGGGGATGCATGTCTTACAGTCTAGTTTCTGCCGCAGTGGGTTTGTTCCATACAGTAAGACGTGGGCCTCAGAGTGGACTGTTTGTAACTCTTCCAACGAGGCCTTCCTACCGCGGATACACTGCAAACACAGAAAGCAGAAGAGAAAGTTTGATTCATCTCCATATGACAGCCAAACTGTCACAGTCATTGAAAAAAAATGACAAGGAGAGAATGACGCATAGTGACATTGTGTGGCCTTCAGGAAACCTTGTCCTGTAATTACAAACAAATAGTGGATACGTGGAATCCCAGCAGTATCAGAAAGTCAAACTAATATTATTTCATTTTCAGACTTAAATGTCAAAGTGTGTGGTTTTTAATGGTAAAGCCCAGAGTCAACAGAAAGTGGAATAACACTGCCCCCTTCTGGTTGTGAAAACATCCTGCATTTGTGGAAAGATTAATTACAAAATATTTGAGATGTTGCATCTGTATCATGAAATTATTGCTATCAGGTACCTCTCACTAAATGTGCTGTTTTTAGTCTTTGTTTTAGTCTTCCACACATGCATTCAAAGACTGAAAAGGACTCATTTTTACCTTTTTAAGCTCAATACTGACCAGTTTGTTAAATTCTTTCCACTGTTATACTATTGTGCATTTTGTAAAGTAACTCTGTAGGTTGTCGGTAAACAAAAACCCATTTTATCTCTTCGGTCCAGTCTAACTTGGCCATTACCTCACAGTGCGCCCTGAGGCCTGTCTCCTGTAGTCGGGACCAGATGCTCTGAATACGGCCCGCGTGCTCTGGATGACTGGTGGTGTTGCCACACATACACTGGTGCTTCTGCATCAAGGAGTCATACACAAGACCTGGAACATGCACACACACAAATAAAGAGGTTTGGGGTGATTACGCAGCTTTGACAACAAGGATAAGAACAGCTGTCTCAACGAGATTCCTATAATCACACTGCAAGACACGCTGTGATTATCTGTAACACCTGCTTTGTCATAAACAAAAGGTCATGTGGAGAAGGTGCAAAGAAATGTGGTGATTTTATGCAGTGAATTACACGTGTAGTGGTTTACATTGTCAGGTGGGCCACATCGCCTAGCAACGGCCCTGCGTCTATACACAGCTACTGTATGTTGGCTAATCAGGCTGAGTTTTTCCAGGAAAAGGTTTCCTCTAACCTGTAATCAGCAAGATGAATGATGCTTGTACATTACTCGTCTGTTTCATACTGGAACTGTGTAAATGCAGTGCACACACAACTCTAAAGCATAATTGCATATTTGGCTTCAGTGTGTACATGTAAGACCCGTGTTGTTATGTCTCTTCAACAGACCTGTAGTAAATCGAGGCTTGGCTGGTGGCTCCGGTACCACCAAGGGGAAGGAGGCGGAGGCTGGAGATGACTGAGCCCTGGACAGGGGGCGGTGTCCGGCGAAGCTGACTGATAACCCGGCTGCTTCCATGGAGGCTTGGTAGTTCCTCAACTGGTGGATCCGCTGCTGCTCTAACAGCAGAGCCTGCTGCTCTCACACACAAACACACAAACATGCAGAGTTGGACTGCAATATCTTTATCATGCCAGAAGATGGCACCAAATACATGCATAGTCCAAGCTGCTATACTATACAACATAACCTGCTTCAGTAAAGATAGAGTTTTCTGTTCTGTTACGAAGATGGAATGACAGTTCTTGTAAAATGACAAGTTAGTAGTCATGACCTCTTCATGTGAGCCTCAGCAAATTTTCACTATTTTTCTAAAATCACTTAATTCTCAACTTGATTTCACACTGACTGTTCTCTTTATGAAATCAAAAAGAAAGCTGCCACAACAACGAGACAATTATTCTCATCAATTGCTTACAAAAAACAAACAAAGCAATGGACAAGGTATTGGAACGTATCATCTGAAAACGCCACTTGCAGCTGGATTTAAAAGCATCTGTATGCACCTGAATTAAATGTTTTCGTGCTCTTCCCACTTAAAAGACTCTCACCAAGGAATCCTGTTGTTCTCTTGTGATGGGTGTGTCTTCCTACCCTATGGGCGCCATGGCGACAATGAGAGGAGTGTCTGATTGAATTTGGCTGAGCGGACAGCAGGGATGGGCTGGACAGATCAGGACACGGTGTCCTGACTGTGCACGACCGCGGCGACAGAAAGACTGAGAGATATATATATAGAGATTAAAGAAATACGGTGTTTGCAAGAGAAGTAATGTAAAATGTGAAACTCAGTGTGTGATAGGGTTGTTTCTGTGTGGGTGTGCAGTATGTATTTTGAACACTTGCATGTGAATGTCCAAATCATGTCATGCCAGGGACTAGTTCGGAGGAGGTACGTGTCTTAATCCTGAATCCTGAAAAGCACTCCACTCTGCACTAGTACATGTAGTGTGTGTTTTGTTAGTGCATTTTGAATGACTTGGGAGGAAAAATAGAGCTAAAATTATGCCAGAAAGTGGGCTGGTCAGTCAGTCGGGAAGAAAGGCAGATCAAATTTAGAGTGTAATGTTTCAGTCAGTCACTCGACGCTCCATCTGTCACTGCTGTCAGGCTGTTTGTGTCTATTTGCCTTCGAAAATCACTACCAAATTATTACACTTTTTGCTATTTGTAAATTACACTTTGATGCCATCTTTGGTTGCAGGCAAAAAGAAAATTTAAGTTTCTTCTTCCGTCTGTTTTTTGTTTTGTTTTTTTTTCCACTAGCATTTCTGAAAAGCAGATTGAACTCATGGAATCTGCATTTTAACTGACTCCAATTTCATGCCCAGTCAGTCTCCAATTTCCATCATTCACTGTTTATCGTGCTGTCCTCCTCCTCCTCCTACTTCTCTACTAACCCGTGCTCCTATTTTCCTCCTTTTCGCTACCGTTTCTCTTTTTTCTTCTTTATTCTTTACCCATATTTGTTTACACCTCATCTCCTAGACTCGCATGACCTGCTCCCCATCACCTCATCCTCACCTGTTTGAACAGGAAGTCCTGGTCAGCCTGCCTCTCCCTCTGCTCCCTCTCCTCCTGCTCCTGGGGGTCGGGGGGCTCCTGCTTGATGACCAGCCCTCGTAGCATCCCTGACTCCTGCACGGAGGTAGAGGAGGACGATGACGAGGACGAGGAGAGTCCCTGGTGCTCCCTGAGCTCCTCTTCCGTCTCCTCTGGGTGACTCTGGTGCTGCCTGCCCGGCCCCGAGGCACTGGAGCCTGCCGCTGAGATCGGATCACTGGGCTTGGACATGATCTAGATGAAAAGAAGCGCTCAGGTCAGATATCTGACAGAGCATCACTATAATTGGAGGTCTGATTTTCATAGTGCGCTTGAAGTTAACACTTCCAGAGAAAAATTGTGCTCCCAATGTCAGCTGAAGATTAGGGGCTGTGGCTGATAAGAGATGTAACACAGAGGAACTACAATTAAAAAACATCCAATCAGGACAAAAAGATAACTTTAGCTTCAATAACATGAGGGGATGGAGAATCAGTCCTTTTAACTGAAAGAACATCATGTATTCGGGAAGAGAACTTGCCCCACTTTCACAACTGCTGGTCCAACCGATAATGTTTTTCATTCCAAAAATAGCTGAGCGATCAGTTTGAGTACAAAAACAATGTAAAAGACCTGAAGTTTAACCAAACAAAGGCTAACATTAGCCAGGTCCTCTTACTTGTCGTACACATGGAGATAACCTGATCTGTACTCTGGACTCTAATTGCTTATTTGCTTTAAAACTCCCGAGCAGTGACTATCTGTAACGTATACGGCTAAGTTCACTGTGCCCGAGCCTGTTAAAAGAAAAGAAACACCGAGCAAAGGACACGAGGAAGAAGGAACAAGAAATGCAGAAGGGTGACTGTAGTAAACTTGTTGTGGCAGCTGGCCCTGTCCCCGTCCCTGTCGTCAAAGACCTTAACCTTGATGTGCAGGTCATGATTGGACTGGACCACTGTTTGTGCATGGAACACACACACACACACATGCACAGAGACACACACACACACACACACACACTTGGCTGGCATATTGCCCAGGGAACAGTCCATTGACGTCAGAGAGCAGGCTCTTGCCTCATCCCAGTCCCTCTTCTCCAAACAAACTCAAAACACTGATCCACTCCTGCTGCACTGATTCTCACTCTCCCTTTTCTTTCTCTTGTTTTGCTCCCTTTCCCCTTCTTTTAACAGAGGAAATAGTTGCTGGGATATGAACCATAAGGGGGACAGACACTAAAAAAGCCTGTTAAATCAGCTGGAAGATGGACAGAGTGGGAGGTGGGAAGGGGAGGTGGTTGTATACACAAACACTTGACACTAGTTGACTCTGTGTATCTATCTCACTCTTTCACACACACACACACACACACACACACACACCCTGGCACAACAATATTGTGAGAGTGAGTTTACAACACTATTGCCTCAGCTGTCTCAGGTAATTAATGGTAGGCAGCAGACTCACGTTGGAGCCGCTTCAACATTCTTTGATTCCTTTGGTCGCTGCCAATATGTCTGAACGTTTAAGCCAAATTCTAAGTTTTCAGGAAGGGCCCCTTTTCATTGCTGACTTGACTAAAAAAAATGTGAACGGGGAAGGGAAGGAAGGCAGCAGATGAGTCATGTTTTACAAAGCGGTGGATTCGCAGGGGAGAGTGGGGGTAATAAATGAGACTGAACAGAATGTGCCAGTGGGGTATTTGTACAAAGAAAATAGTTTGTAACGCTGTTGAGAATCAAATTGAACGGCGGCCATGATTCTTATCGCCATGAAAGAGACTGACTGGTATTCGGATCCTGCTGCAGAGACATGCTGCTGCCTGGAGTGTTATACATCCTCATGACAAACTGAAAGTGTGTTGCAGATTTCAGGCTTGGAGTAATCAATATTTCTTGGGGCTAAAACAAAGGCAATGACTAGCTAGGGACATGTAATTTATTTCTGTATGAATGGGACTACGGGGAATACAACTGCAGTGACTGTTGCATGGTACATTAATATTAGAAAACATCCAATCCATTTAGACAACAGATAAGTTATTATATCAGCCGGAGCCGCATGCATTTAATCGCTTGTAGATGAGATGCCTAAATTAAAATATGACTCTGAGAATCGTGCTTTGCAGTGCGGCGGGTACGACTCCAGTCACAAAGAATAACAGAATTAATTGAATGTTTGGACTGAGAAACGTCTGTGCCAGTGTTACACAATTCAGCACAAGTTTATTATTTAATCACAGTTTTTCTGCTTTTGGCAAAGTAATACGCAGGACTGGACACTGACAACCCATTCACTGAGTGGAACAAATGACAAAATGATCTCAGAGATTATCACATGTCAGGGCTTCGTCTTGCTCTAAAATCAGCTCCTCGCCCTTTTCCCGAGTGATATTTGGAGTAATGGACTTGAAATGCCAGATTACACAGCTTTCATTTCACACGATGAAAGAGGTCTTTTCAAGCAATACAGAGTGTCAACCTGCCTCCAGGTAACTGAATGACCACCACGGTGTCCTGTATCTTTAAACAGTGACAACTTCAGCTCATCACCAAAAACACTTCTGTTGCTTGGGTACCATTTGATCAAACAGTAGACAGTGTGAATGTGCAAATTCCAGCCTAACAGCACAAGCGCACCAAAAAGCATTTATTATGCAAAAAAAAGCATTTGGTAAGAAATTGCTAGAAAGCCTACAAGTCTATTAAAGGACCGTAACGCATACTATGCAGACAAAAACTGTAAACAGTGTCCATACCTTCAAGCAGTGGAGCAGGAAAATGGAGCACCTTCAGGAAACCACACCAACACAAACTCTATACGGCCAGAGCTCAGCTGCCCATCGAGTTCACGATGCCATCGCAACACTCAAAAATAAATTTTAGTAGCTGTGAGACTAATGCAGCAGAGTCAAATGAGACGCACTTGAGATTGTGGGTTAACATGGTGGCTATAGGTTTAAAGTGTTTATTCTAACTGCTGTTAACACCAAAGAAGGCAATGAGAACAATATCAATCGCAGCTGTGGTAGACGCCTTTCCACCGGTTCCATATTTACGCGCTCACAAAAGTAATGAGGTAATAATTTTGTAGCGTTGCAAATTTAAACGTCAGGTGCAGATTTTCGGTGATCCGAACAGAAACTTGGGCCGCGGGTTGCTTCAAAAACAGATTTGAGGAGCTTAGAGTGTTGTTACAGTAGTTATTCCGCTGATGACGGGGGTTCACACACGTGTTTTTTATTTACAGACATTATAAATGTTTGATGCATCTGAATTGTATTACAGCAATAATTGTTTGAGAAAAGGCCAAAGCTTATCCTTGTGTTTTCAGTGATTTTTTTTTTTTTTGATGCAACATTATCGACTTAGTCAAAGCACACAAAAAGCAAACGTTAGTTATCCTGAGCTGCCTGTGCTAGCCACTTTAGATTGTGTTGTGATGTAACTGGTTAGGATCTAACTGAACGCCTAAAGTCTCAATTAACATTCATCTACAGTAAGTGGCCTGTGATTTGGTGCACTGAATTAGGGAAGGAATCCTGTTTCACACATGCACAATGAATTTAAAGTAAGCAGTCAGAGCATGCATAACAAGAGATACCCATTGCTAGTTTTAAAAGACATTACTCAATGATTAAACGGCATTTGGTGCATTTTAACAAGAAAACAATCACACTTACACCCAAAAGCGACGCAAATGTCATCTTGTCACAGCATCCTAGGATTTCAAGTTAAAGAGCAGCTTCTATTTATCAACATGCCATGTAAACTCATTGGTTTTATTGTAATTTTCTCGGAAACAAGCATGAACACGACCCTCAATCATTCACAAAAATAACCTGGTTTTCTGCTTGAACTAAAACAGTTGACAAAAAGTCTGCAGTCCAGAAGCAGAGAGAGTTACCAAGAGCCCAGCAACATAAGATAATGGAGTCGAATCCTTTAGGAATTTCATCACATGCAGACAAACAACCATCTCCTTTTCTATAATGACCTTATAATGCTGCAACTACATCACCTTGCACACACACACACACACACATTCGCACAGTGGTGCAGTGAGTCACATTTCCTGTGTGAACATATATGGAGGCAGCTTCCTCCAGTGCACAGTTGCCAGGGTGACAGGGAGAAGTAGGGACACACGAACGCAGACAAGAAAAACTGGCTAAAAGACTTGCTGATTGCGGGCTGATTCATCGTGCTCTTGGAGGAAAGACAGGATTCACAGACATTAACCAAATCAGTGTCAGTGTAGATGGACAAACACTCCTACTCACATACGCGCACACACACCCATGCACATACATACAGCTGGTCGCTCCGCCACAGCTGTTCAGATGTTACATTTGACACTGTTCGTGATACATGCACGCACACACACACACACACTCGACACACATGCACACATTCAGATACCTTGTTGATGATGTGCTGCTGCTGCTGTTGTTGGAATAGTTGCTTGTGCTTCTCCAGGAATTGCTGGTGCTGCTGCTGGACCACCAACTGCTGCAGGGCCTGGGCCTGTCCGCACTGCTGCTGGGGCAGAGGGGCCGACTGGGTTCTCCCCAGGGGACGGTGGCCCCGGACAAGCTTGGAAACAGAGGGTGATGGTAGGGGTAGGCCGCCCAGACCAACTGCAGCAAAACACAGAGCGACGAGAGGAAATCCTCATTAGTATTTTTAACAAGCTGGGTTTTGTTTCTGTTGTTCTTGACATCATTACGGCTGGTTATGGATACATTACATGCCATATCAGCCTAAAAGAGATTGAAGGCATGACGGATTGGAATTGCTATTCAGAAATAATAACTGTAAATTTTAGTTGCAATGCACAGTTCTTTCCTGGGCTACCTCTGGAAACCTTTTTATCACTTAAATTACATTTGCAACAGAAGATTACACCAGACAATTTGGGCACATTTGACATCATTTTCACTTTCAAGTAGTTTTAAAACAATTGCTTGGCTGAAGTGGCCTCTGTGATGCCTTGCATTGTATGCAGTGTTATGACAGTGTCCTAAAATCTCTGCAATTAAGCTGATGAGTGAAATGTTAGCAAAGAGAGCAGGTTTGCAAAAAAAATTAGAGATGAGACAGAGGTTGAAAAAAAGAACACTGACATCAAAGAGCAGCGTTACTTAGCTTAACAAAGAAGCATTTAGTACGTAAGATATTCACATAAAATTTGTGTTTGTAATTTACAAACTGCTGATTTAAAAACTATGAGAAAAGGAAGTGTACATTAAATATACTGTCAAGAGCTAAAGTATTTGGAGACTGATTCAGTTTGTTCTAAATGCTCTGTGCTTTAGCGCATTCAGTTCAAAACAAAGTGATGGAGGCAACATTAGAGCGCCAAGTCTCAGCTTCATTTGAGTAGATTAACATCAGTGTAAGCGATATAGTGAATAATGTACAAGATTCAGTACGTGTTGGAGATAAAGTGGCCAAAGTTTAGGGTGTTCCTAGGACACTGCACAAATACCGAACATATGAAGTCCAACAAAACCATCAAATTTAACAGCCTGCTAAGAATCTTTTGCATTAAATCACTGCCTGATGCCGCAGATGTAACTGTCCAGATACTTATGGTCTTTAACTGTGTGTATATCATTTTAGCATGATTACGTGGATGCATGTACTTCACCTGGGAATTTAATGAACTGTAGCATCACTAAAGCCAAGACGATAATACTAACCTACAGCATACAATATCGGCAATAAATTCTTTCTGTGATCCACAAAGTGTCAGTAATTCAAACTTCTGCCACTGACGAACTAATACACTAAGACAATATTGTAAATGCTGCAGTGAACACAGACCCATTGGACTGTGGCTCTGCTCCAGCAGCACCATGTGTTGGAGGAGGGGGTTGTGACCCGCCGTGCCCCCTCCTGCTCCCTCTCTGTCCAGTGCTGAAGATGCCAAGTAGGAGGGCAGGTGGGCAGTGGGCAGGAAAGGAGAGGTCAGTGGAATGCCCTGTTGTAACGCAGGCAACGCCAGATGACTCTCACCATCTTGGTGTCCTGATACCACCTACAAAGAGACGGATTGAGAGAAGAGAAGAGGCAGAGGGTCAGAGAGAGAG